CATAACCACGCCCACATAACAGCAATCAGAGAACACCTAATTTGCAGAACCACCTCCCTTTCAACCAATCACAGCATGTTATCGTCATGCTCCACCCACTTTTTCACAGCTATCAGCGAATCATCAGCCATCATTCCAGCCAGGCCACACCCACTTTCCTGGATTTTTCTGCCTGGAAAAAAAAAAACAGGGAAAAAAGTTTTTGGAAAAAAAAATTTGAACAAAGTTTCGAAAAAACCCGAAAATTTAACTTTTTTTTTTTTTTTACAGTTAGATTGTGGTGATGTGTTTAAAAATGAAGTTGAGTTGAAGTGTTCTTTGTAATCAAGCTTTATTTCTTTTGCAGAGTAGAAAATCACAAAAGCAGTCTGCTTGTTGCTGGGCGGCGAAGTGGTCAGCTCTTGAGAAGAACGTGGGACAGGTGTGTTGACCTGAGAGGAAAGGCATCCGTGAGTTACACACAAGTCAATTTCTTGTGCAGACAAAGATGTGTTGGGCATGAAACTTACCAGGGAGATAAACTGTTGGGTCTTTCGAGAGCAGGAAGCCGATCATGTTTACTGCTGCTTGGGGGAGAAAAAAAAGTCAAAAAAGTAGTCATGATGGTGCATTGAATGAGTGTAAATGTCTCCTACTTTTCAGGCTGGCCCAAAGTTTGAATTCAGCACCTTGCGAATAACAGGAAGAAGAGCAAAAAGTGTTGCCTGCAGGTCTGTGCTCGTAGGTGGACTCTGGCGGTGAGCAGGTTACTCCCTCTTCTGGCACAGAGGACCCAAGAACAATTTTCCTTCAACTCTGAATAATGAAATGAGGCTTGGTGAAATGAGACTTCTTACCAGCTCGGTTCACCTGATCACCACACCAGGTCTTTTACCATTCGGCCATTCTGCTGCGAAAATTTCAAAATTGTTATATGTAGTCAAAGGCAGCCGACCACACGAGGTTTTGAAGGTTAAAAAAAAGAACATAATTGGTACGACGGTTGGCGTCTCTCGTGGGCGATGTAACGGCACTCCAACCTCACGCATAACCTATCCACCACGCCAGTATTTCCTACTGCCAAGGAGAGTGCGATAATATGTGTAAAGAATAAAGTATTCACATGTCCTTGATAGCGTCTGCTGTGTTGGGTCTGTCTCAGTGACAGACTGAGGCTGCTGTCTTCTTCTCTGATCAAAACAATGTTGTCTTTTCCTCTGATCAAAATATTGTGTCCCCCTAGCGGATGTTCCACGAATTGCACCCTATTAAAAATATTCATTCCGTGTCTTTTGTGCATTTTTTTCACTTTTAAATTATCCTGCGGGCCTGTT